CTCCGCAATACAATAGTTGGTCGCCCATCCTACCCATCCTGCCCATCCTGCCCCTCCCACCCCCTACCGTCCAACAAGCCCCATCTCTACACCACCAACTCGAAGCCCGCCCCACAAACTCTACTGCCTACCACTGCACCACATCCCTCCACCACATCCCTCCACCATCACACCGCTACACAATGCGCTCCTCGCCGACCGACCACTCACATCTTCAACCCGATACCACGCACCGTTCATCCATTCTGCGTACACCCGCAACTCTCACCATTGCTCCCACAACCTCACCCGCGCTCACCCCTATTCCCAATCAAGCCCCTAACCACGCCCCCTGCTTACTCGTCGCACCCCCGTCTCAATCCCCGCAACCATCCAAAACTCCGCTCAACCACCAAGTGCTCACGGACCCACCTGCAGACTGCAACGCGTTCGCTTGCTGCTGCAAAAGCTGAAGCTGTTGCTGATGCTGCAACTGCTGCAAATGCTGCTGTTGCTGTGCTTGCAGACTCGTCACATCGTGCAAATGCTGCTGCGGAACACCCTGTAGCAACCGCTGCTGCTGCATAGCGCTCAACTGAGCTTGTAACTGCTTTGACTGCTGCCTCTGCAGTGCTTCTTGCAGCTGCATCTCGGCTGTCACACCCACATTGCTACCGGACCTTGACTGTTGCATTGCCTGCTGAACTACCTGTCGCACCATCGAAATCGTCATCGTCCCTCTCAACCACATCCAATCAAACACTCCGCCTACTCAACAACCATCCATACTCCCTCCTCCTGCCCACACATCACATCAACCGTAATTCACTCCCCACCCCAACGCCACAGCGCCGCCTCGAGCGACTGCACGTCCATCCCGCTACCCACATTCTACAACATCCTCGCTTCTATCCAACATCATTGCATCATCCCAACCACTCACCTTCTGATCCAGCTCTGTTTCCGCTTTCATCTCCATCTTCGGCGTCAAAAGCTCCGCCGCCTGCACCTTCATAGGATGACCCACACTTTGAGGCTCCTCCTTCGCGGACACCAGCCCTTGCAGTGCACTCGCCCCGATCGCTTTCCCGTGTTGCACGTTGCTCCCGTACCCTACACCGTTCGCCTGTTGTGCCCCGCCCCCTAACACCAACGACTGGTGGCTTCCACCACCACCCATTCCATGTGACCCACTCCCTGCCGTCTGACTTGCGAACCCGGAACTCTGCTGCCCACCTCCCAACTGCTGAGACCCTTGCGGACCCCTCTCTGCATGCAACCCTTGCGCTTGTTGCGCCAACTGTGCCAGCGGCGATGTCGCGGACAGCGGAGGTGTGGCTGAACGCACCTGCTGCTGGAGCAGCACATCCTGCACATACCCCCAAACCCGGACCATCATCCACCGGCACTCACCACACTCGACTCCATCCCCGACGATCGTATCACACATCAACACACAACAATTCTTCTCTGCCCAAACCTCACGGGCCTGCCCAACCCCATGCATTTTACTCGCATAATCCCCATATCCATCTGTCCACTAATTCGATTCCCCAATACTGCCAGACACCATCCCTAACCACACACCCCATAATGCACACACCCGCCACCCTCACTAAACCACCTACATCCCCCCCATCACAACATTTCAGTTCCCGACCCTCGCTTTGCATCTCCACATCCCCCCTACGTGCCGCATTCCACTCCCCACGCTGCCCATTCACATCCAAAATCCTGCGCCCCTCGCAATCGTCAGTCACTAACCTGCTGCTCCAGTCGGGACAGCCCAGAGCTCACTTGCTGGTTCGCCATCGCAGATGACATCGACACCGGTGATGCGGGCAACCCCATCCCCACCAGCCCAGACAGTGCGAGCCCTTCCGACGCACCACCTGTGTTCCTCTGCACCCCGCTGAAGTCCCCACTCGACCCCGTGATCAAGGTCGTGCCACCCACGCCCGAGCCTGGGTTGCCTGTCCCGCCCAAACTCGGCGCAATACCTGCAATATCCCACCCCGCACCATCCATCCCCCGTTTCAATTCCACCGCACCGCACCGCACTCCTCCTTACCCCCATGCCCTAATCACGCAACCCCTCCTCCCCGGACCGCCCAAACCACCTCACAATGCAACACCATCCCATCCCACGCCCTCCCACACGACCTACCTGCGAGTCCTGCATTTGTCACCCCGTTGATCAGGGGATTGTTCGTGTATCCTGCCAGCATGTTGGCGCCTCCAAATTGAGACCGCCTCGCTGCTAGCGACGATAGCGTCGGCTGAGCGAACCCGTTCCCACCTTCATTGCCCAGCAGGGCATTGCCCGACCGGAGAACGGAACTCGACGGAACTGTGCGTGCATGCGCACCAGCCATCTACAGAAACGCTCGACCCTTCCAGCTTGCTACATCAGTCCTGCGCTCACTCCCTCCAAACTCGCCTCTCCACCTCAACTACGCAACCTTCCACCGCGTGACCCAACTTCCATGCGCTGCTTGCACTCCAAATCCGTCGCTGGGCACCAGCTACCGGGCAGGGCGCCCACAGGCGCCCTGTTCCGGTAGCTTAGCCTGAATCCTGCGCCACTGCTCCACGCCCCACAAACCACCCCCTTTCTCCCCGCCCCTCGCTGTCCTCCCCCACCCTCCCACACGACTCCCCTCGCCTGATCACCCGCGACCCTCGCCGTGCTTCTTCACCCCCGCCCTCCCCAACACATGCCTGTCCAGCTCAACACCCCAAAAACCAACACCTCCTGTCGCAACCCCGCAACCGCACCGCCCTGCACTGCAACCGGATTCTCCTCAATACCTCCTCCCTGCACCCTGTCGTCGCATTACCTCCCTCATGCACACATCTGCACCCCCCAAATCGCGCGCGGGACTCCTCGTCACTCCCGAATCCGCCCCACTTCCACGCGCTCCTTCATTAGCCCAACCCCAACCCCAACCCCCGCCTGCTCCTCAGCGCCACATCCACGCAAACCGCAACACCACCCCACTTACGAATACCACCACCCCGACTTCAGATGGCAATGCTCGGAAGCTCCCGACAACCCCACTCCATGCACACCGCTACAACGCACCACGCACACCTCGCCCTACTACAACCGTGCGCTGCCTTTGTCCACACATCTCCCCACATAGACACCACCCCCCTGCATTACCCCTCCGACCCCACCGCCTCGCCCATGTCAACCGCATTCCAAGCTCTACCATTCTCCCCACCACCGTCTCATGCTGCACCTGCGCCTCCGCCCACCACCTCTGCTTCCGCCATTCGCACCTCCGCCGGGTCTCCCCCAAAACACCACCACCACCAACCTCGTGCCACTACTCCTCCAAACGTTCTCGCATCCACCCTCCACCCTCGCCCAAGCTGCTCACAAACTTGCCCAATAGGGGCACGTGCCACTCCTCACCGATCACACCCGAGCCCCAGGCCTGCAAATTTAACGCGTCGAACAACCCCGCCCTCCCTCGCACCCAATCATATCACCGCCCTCCCAACAACCATCACACTCCTCCGGCACCACCCGCTCGCCACCCAGAGCTCATTCTCTCATTGCAAAGCGCGCAAGCGCAAACCCACCTGCAGCGACAGAACAGCACACATCCCCGGACGTTCAGAAGCCACCCCGGTCGCAAACCCACGATACGACACTGGCAACAGCAGCATCGCGCACAACGCAGAGCTCGCCAGATTCTCGGACCAAGGCAAGCGAGCGCGCATGGAAACCAGCTCCGTCCAAATCGCGCAGAGCACCCTCCGGAATGGCGACACCGCGCACCCGAAGCAGGGCGGGCAGGCGGGCAGGCAGGCAGGGGTGGGAGGAGGGGGTTTGGGCCTGGATCCCAGCGCTAGTGCTGCGGCTCTTTCTCTCTCCACTTTCCACACGCCAACAGCAGTAGCAGGGCCTTCCTTCGTTCCTTTCGCAATGCCCGGGCCTCTCTCCGGGTTTCCTTGCAAGACAAGCGGGCGCAGCAGCAGCAGCAGAATGGGCCCCTTTACAGCCCCCCACCCCAGCTCCCTCCCTCGCTCGCTCGTTGGTCGTTGCGCAGGAGTTGTTTCACCGTGGCCGCGCGTCCGCGGGTTCAGGGCATCTCGGATTAGTGTGGATGTCCGGCACCCCCCCCCCCCCGCAGTCACGCGGGCCCCTCCTTTTTCGTCTGGAGCGGCTTCACTTACGAGGAGTTCCTTTGCTTCGGCATTATTCCACATTGGGGCATCGTTAGGAACACTGTGCCTGTGCCTGTGCGTGGTTGGATGTGACACATTCACCCGGAGTCGTTTCGAACGCAGATTTCCTGCTTTTAGCTTTTTCACTGCTTTAAGATATTTGGTGAGAAAGGTTGAGTTAAGCAATACATTGTCACATGATTCTGGGCGTTGGAGATGTTGGGTATATGTCGGTGGTGCTTGTCCAGATGAAGGTTGCGTTTCACGCCGTAGAACGGCAGATTGTTTTACACCCAGAGTTGAATATTCAGGGTCAGAGAGCATCTACTAGGTTGAATTTTTGTGGTTTGTGTATGAAAGTAAGGTGTACTTTATAGGTTGAGTATGTGTATTTAGATTGGGAATGCAAATTTTAGTAGTAAGGATCTGGAAAGAGCTTAGAAGTGATCAAAGTCAGAATTGCTTTTAATGCATTAAAGTGCACTCTGATGTTTTTCACGTCTTTTTTGAGGAATTCTGTTGAGGTCAAATTATCGGTATTATTTTAGGCCGATGGAGTTTTGCGTCAGGAACTATATTATATAGTTTTGTCGGCGCATGTGTTTTCCACTTCAAGCATGGTGCTGAGGTAGTCAATATTTTAATATTTTAGTGCAATTGTTTAAGATAGACATTCTGCTTACATCGTAGAATATAGAAGTTTGGTTTCTTTAAACTTGAGAAATATTTATCGCACGTGATTGTTGCATGTTAATATTTTTTTTTTTTTTTGTTTGTTTGTTTTTGTTACAATATTTTTACTAGTGGTTTGCCATTGATGTCACATTGCACATTTGATCAAGATCATAACGTACTTTTTGTTGAGTAATCTTTATTTATACATTTAGTTTGTTGATTTCCAGTCAAAAGTTTTAATGACATTCTTGATGAATACAAACCCTAATGTTCAATTAATTATATTTGGGATTAATTAGTTGAATTGGATAGCAATGTTACTTGAATGAATATTGAACTATTATTTCCATTTATTTATTATGTATTCTTTATACTTTATATGCTATGTAAGAGACCCCACAAGCCACAACTACTTGAGTGCCAAACATTATATTTCAAGTAGGTCACTTGTCTGAAATTGGAAGTTTCATGAAAGATGTTCAGTGTTTCATACATGTGTGTGTGTGTGTACGTAGATGTGTATTGTTCATGAAAGAATTTGTCATATTGTTTTGGAGGCATTCTTGCAATTGTTATAATTTGGAAACAAACAACACTTTGTATATATTTAAAATGTTTTTAATTTTGTTGCATTAAAAAAAAAAATCAGTGTTTAAACTTTCAATTGTATGGTGAATATGCCATCTACAAGCAAAAAAGTCAAATTCTGCCACATGAATATGTTGAATAGTTGTGCATGTTCATTGATTCACTGAGACATTGGTAAGTCCTTTTATTTTCAGTGTTGTCATGATAATGATTATGACAATTATTATTATATCCTCTATGTTTGTCATTGTCACATAGGAAATATTAATGGGCTTTTATTTTGATTATATATATATATATATATATATATATAATTTTTCGTGATAAAAATGATATGCATTGTCTCTTCAAAATTATGTGCAGAATTGCACAACATGTTTAAATGTCTGACTTGTTAATATTTTTTAATTAAATATTCCCCAAATAAAAATTAAAGACAAGCTTCAGGATTCTAACAATCATTCATCTTGTCTTAAAATTGGCATCTTAAAATTTTGAAGGTTTTATTTTCCAGATTGATCCTATTAAATGGTTAATAAGATGTAATGTGAAGAAAGAACAACTAAATTTTCTGTCATAAGAAACTTTGTTTTCTGTGACCATATTGATATCATTCTTTAATTTAATTGCTGAAAACACAGTATTCTGGCAAAAACGTGGTTGTGAGAGTGAAATATAAACATTCTGTTGAACAGGACTCAAATAAAGTTTTCATTACATTCCACTTAAATGCAATTGTGACCCAGTTGCCAAGTTATGCTGTGTGTTTTCATTTGCTCATTTATCCTATTTGTGTTTTACTTAAATGCTGAGTGTAATTGTTCCAATGTTTCTTATTTGCATAGAATGTACTACAATCCATAATTTTTTCAATTTATTTTTCATATTATTATTCTAAAAAATATCTTTTGATGTTATAAACATAGTGTTGCCATGACTGTTTGTTTTTGTTTTTGTCCAAAAGTGTGTGTGACCAATTAATTGATGCTGTATTCAAACCAGGTTCATCTTATTTGCACTAATTATGCTGGCTATGTCTAATTACACACTCTTGGATTTGGATTTGGATTTGAGATTGTACCACAAGCTGCAGCACAGTGGGAACTTAAAGTGTAGAGTGCTTTTATTTTTTCTTTTAAATTTTTATTTTCTGTAAGGATTTGATATTTTGAAAACACCATCCACTTTGACGATAATTTTGCCAATGAGTGGAAACCAAATCCATCCAATTTAATACCTTCTTAAAACCAAAGTGTACTTAAAACTTGTGCATACATGTTTTCTTAATAATGGACCACTTCAAAACGTGGGGAAGATGATCCATTGCATTGAATTCCTTGATTCCCCAATTGGTTACAAATGGCAGGATGTAAACACTTTGCAAAATGCATGATTGAATAATATGGAATTTTATATGTATTTTCACGTGGTTTCACACATTTCCAAATCTTTGAACAATGTAATTTAGGTAAATTGTTTTGAATAGACCACATGATGACCAACAAAGATGCATTTTACAGGTCAACACTAATGCTTATTTGTTAGTTCTCATAGAAGGCACATTGTTCATAAAAATATGTGTTTGTTTTATAGACAATAATATTCTTTTATTTGAAAGAATGAATTGATTGTACTTCATTGGATTAGAATACATTAAATATATGCTTTGAATAATTGGGTGTTCTTTTAAAGTGTTATACCATGTATAATACTTACATCTCCAGAAGTGTGTGTCTTGTTCTCTATGATCACAGTGATATCATTAAGGAATGAATCAAAATATCAGTGACTTGTTATTTTTAAACCATGAATAGGACATCTATTCAATCTTCATTTCAATCTTTTAATGCAGTAAGTTATAAAACAGTGTCTTTTGTTTTTTTTAAAGTTTCTCGCAGGTGTGTTGGGTTTGCCCCAACAGTTGTCCAATGTTTAAACAATTGTGTCTTCAGAATAATTTTTTTGGGGTTTAGAATGTGTTCCAAAAGAGGTCACCTAGTGCTTAGGTGATGATGTCATTTATAACAATGAGACACTGTTCTTACACAATTTTAGACAAATTTTGTAGATGTTGTTTGTAGTCTTAAGCAAGCAAGCAAGCAAGCAGGGTTATTGATTAATAATGCTGGAGACAACCACCTGTTGTTTTGAAAAATCTA